TTGAACATTTATTCTGTTGTGAAAACACCTCGTTTAGACAAATATTACTGTGGTTTTTGCAAAACCAAGGAGAAATTGTGCAAATTTTTGAGCCTATTATTTACATTCGCAAAATGTGCGCGTATAAGAGATGAGATACTTTTATGGGAGTTGTAATTTTAGTCATGCCCTAATCCAAAATTGCTCTATCTATTCTTGAAACCTAATTATCATGACCAAGACTAGTAAGCCTTCGGGACCAAAAAAAATTTCGTTAATTCCGCCAAATGTGTTGATTTCTTTTTCAGAAAATATTTTTTATTATTTAAAGTTGATTTGAATAAATCACAGAGCGGGTTGCTGTACGGTGATCTGTGACACCGCCACTCTTAAAAATGCAGTCTACACCATCTCGTAATATTCAACTCACGACAGAGATTAAGGAGACGTAAGTAATTGTGTACAAGTTTTTCTGCGCTAGTTGTCAGATATTTCTGCAGTTTATGTCTTTTTATTTGTGCGTTTTAAAACTGAACTTATGTGGAAGCAAAAAACCAATATCTTCGTTGATAACCCTTAATCTTGCCTACCAAATTCTCATGAAAACTGGTCCTGTTGTCATTGATGTCACTACTTTTCTGTCGTTTGGATTTTGCGAAATTATTCACCTATTGTACTAGTTAATTGCGTTATTTTAGGAGCAATAATGCATATGGTAATTTAAGTATGCACTTTTGTTGAAGGTATCAATGTATTCTCATCTGTACTTTTATTATTGCAGTGAAGCTCAATCAAAATTTTTTAATGAGCGTGTATCTCAAATTGAAACCTATTTCGGAGATCTCTGCACTGAATTTATCAGCTATACACGCAGAACAGCAAAGCTGAGGAACAACGGTAATTCATATCCAAAACATGTCCATTGCTTTTTCTCAACTACTATAGCTGTTACATTCTGGATATGCTTAATACTTAATAGTTACAATTGTATTTTCACTTTCGAACAATAATTAAGAATGGAAATTTTGTAGTATTTTTTATCACTTTAAGCGAATGTGATATAAAGTCTCATTTTTCAATTGCCAAAACATTTAGATTTGATTCATTAGCTTTTTTTTCTCTAGATGCCCTAGAATTTGTGGTTTTTTTTTCACTAGCATTCGTTAGTACATGTATCTCAGTCTTGTTTTCACACTTTTAAAAATTTTTGATTAACAGGGGATGAGTTGTCCAAAATTCTGCTGAGCTATTCAGTCAATGAGAAAATCAATCGAACAACAGCACGAACGCTGAGGAAATTTGCGGAACTACTTTCCACCCTCGAAGACTACAGACATGCTGAAGTAGATAGGTTGTTTGCCAAAGTCATCACTCCTCTTTCCACTTACGGTGATGAAGTCAAGAGAATTAAGGCTAGTTTACTGTATTAAGTCTTAGGATCACTGAAATGAAATTTTTCATCTTTGCTGCCATTGCAACCTTTGAAGGTTGGTATTCTGTTTGACATTCCACCCACATAGCTGTTAAATGATGCTAATTGTGTTTGAGTGTTTATTGGACAACCTGGTGGGTAAATCATTATCATGAAGTAAGGAAATTCTAAGTACACTCTTATAGTATCGGAACCGAGGGTTAATATCCTCTTTTGCACTCCAACTTGACTACTTTTATTTCCGATAAAAGATTTCCAACTATTTTTTTAATTGCATTCTTCTAAGAAATAAAAATTGTGCGACTGTTATGTAATTTCTCATAGGTTTGTATTCTTTTTCCTATTTTTTTTTAAACGCACGTTTCTGTGCGGATACTTATGTACTGGTAATTTAACAACAAATGTCCTTCAGTTTTTATTTAGGATGAGTTTCACTGGTAATGAGGCAGACATCTTCAAGTACTTTAATAATAAAGACTAGAAAATGCAGAAATTAGCCAAATAAGGTTGTATAATGCATTATAAAATTGGAATTCGCCGTATTTTTTACTTGTATGGAAATGTTTAGGTTACAGGCTGTAATGGCCATTAATTCAACAAATAAAATGTTTAAGTCAACCTTCTGTCACTATTTATTCCTGTCATAAAGCCTGTTGTCTCCGCCAACAAACAGCGCAGTCCCAGCCATCTCTATCTCTACCCCGGTTTTATTTCTCAAGCATCTATTCTACTGCATCCGTGTTTGTTTAACGCCAGGAAAGGGAGGTAATCATTCGAGAAATAGCAGGGAAGAACGAAATATGAAGATGGAAATAATCCCTTTCAGTATTCAACATGGCAAAGTAGTCTCTATAATGTAGTTCTCATTTGGGACTACCATTGGATTCAATAGTCTTTTCGCGATGGGAAGCTGTCGCACGAACTTCTTTTCTGCCTCATATTATTACAATTAACTTGAAGTAGAAAGTCTTAGGAAATGACTCGAGCATCGAAGGAATAGGCATAAAAGAGACCCCCTATGACGGATTCAGAGCATACTCTAAAATTTAACCAACTTTTAGTCATAGCAATCACCGGGTAGACAGGCATGTTGAAAAACAGATGGGATAAAAGACAGTGAGACAGTCCAAAATGAATGGTGCATTTTTATGGGCTACTTAAAAAGGTGAGAAACAACAATGTCCCATTCTTTCTAGCTTGCTGTTATCTGCTATCAGTGCATGTGGGTTGGACCCATTTCTCGCGTCAGCTTTTACACCTTTTCCTTCTTAAATGGTGTAGCTGTAAAGAAAATTTCCCATCAACCACGTATTTGACACTACTATATAATGTTATTGGTATTGCAGTCCTCCATTTTAACAAAAAACGGGACATTTTTCTGGTTTCCTGAAAATTGGATACCTTTAGATTATTTAATATGACTTTAATGTAACTGAATTTGTGCTTGTGTTGATATTGTATGGTTCCAGCTAAATTTAAAAAAAAATAAAGCTAGTCCGTTAGAACAAAGGGAGTTTATATTTTAGTGTTGTTGTAGGAAGTATTCACTGAATCACCATACTATATTTTGTCCTAGTTATGTAGGAATTGTTATTCGAACTCTGTTTATTTTTGTTTCTTTTTTTCGTTTTTTCTTCATCGCAGTCTTTTTATCTTGTGTTAGCCTGCATCGGAACATGTTGGTAGTTTCAATTACACACAAGCATAGTTAGTCTTTTTCTAAGATTTTGCTGCTTAGAACGCAAGCTGAAATCCTATGATGCCAAAACAATTTAACAAACTTTTCGGCAACCGATGCCTTGAACGGATGTGAAACAAAAGCAAAAGTCTCCACTCCTTTGTGTGGTTGCTATGACTTCGGTGTATTTCAAAATAAATCTCATACCAAAATTTACCTCTGGAGCTTTAGCTACCTCTATTGAGTAAAATTTTTCTATTAGAAAAAATTGGAACAAATTTGTCGTAGTTTGAATCAAGCTTTTTAAACATTAGCATTTTTATTAGAAATTCTGCCTTCAATGCTGTTATAATCAAATACACAGTCCTTTGATGTTTAATTTGCAGACGAACATAAAAGTTGAGACAGCAGCTCGCAAGAAGGAAGTCTCGCAGCTCAAACGTCTGGGTCGAGAGCCTCTTAGGGGGGTGAGTTCTTAAAAGGCAAATTCGGAGTTTTTCTGTCTCTGCAGCAGTGTTCCTTTGTTTTTTTTCGTTTATGTGTACCCGTACATGCACGTCATTTAGCAAGGTCTTTGATCTGCCTGTCATTCTGGATTTATCAATCAAAGAAGGGAATTCTTCTAGCTCTCTGGTCACCTTATTTTACAATGGTACAACTTTAAATTAAGATGTTTCCATCGTACCTGTCTTGAGTCCATTAATACCCTCCTGGATTTTAGTCTAGACCTCCCACGTGGTTAGAATCAACATCGTCGGTCAGAATAGAGCCTTCCATTCCAACTTTTTGACACTCTGTTTTTAAAGCTTATTGCCTCACCAAGCACTGCATGCGCAGATTTTTCAAATTGTCTGTACCGAGAAAGCACTACTTTACACTTGGCTGTTCTGAATCAGTCTTGCGTCTGCATTGACTCCCTTCTGAATACGATCTCTAACGTATTTCCACCTCGCGAATATAGGCTGAAGAGCGCATAAGCATTGCAACACGGGATGCCCTCCGCTCCGCAGACGCGCTGGAGCGACATGTCATCCAATTTGAGGCAAAGAAACTCAAAGGCTTAAAGGTGTTATATTGCAGTTTTTGTAAACCAATCCCTAATATGGGCGTGTAAGCAGCATGCCTTGTTCCTTTTCAGAATATCTTGACGGATTTTGTGCACATTGAGATGTTGTGGCACGCCAAAGCGTTGGAAACACTAACAGATGCTTTCAATGTGGTTCAGTCGATGCAAGAAGAGGTCGATCTAGCCGATTTTCGCAACACTCTCTTCCGTTCTGGCACTCTTATTGGTCTTGACGGAGACCATCTTCAGGCAAGTATTCGTATATCCGCAAGGTATTTGGAATTAAGGCTCGCAATCACTATTGTATGATGAGTATAATATACCGGCAGTGAAACAGGCGAAATACCAAAAACCGTTCATTCATTCATCTAAAAAATGCGAAACTGGGGTATAATTGAGGCCGAATTTTTGTGTACTTATTTTAGAACTCTCAGGTCTCCTTTGATCCGCCGAAGAGTCGTAGTGTTCCCGCGCTCAACTCCTCACCTTCCAACATCCGCAATCGCCAGGTGAAACATCAGCAGGAGAACTTGGTGTGTTTTTTTTCCTATCTTTAGCTACTTACAAGTCATCAGTAGAATAGCTTCACGGCGAATGCTTTTTCTGCTCTTTATTTCAACCAGGTCTGACTTCTGATTTCCATCTGCCTATTTCATTAAGTGGTGTTTTGCCGTGCCGTATGAGTGTTGTGTAGTCACTTTTATATCCGTTGTACAATTCCACATCCTACATATACGTCCATTGTTCGTACACATGTGGTCTTTTTTATTTTCTACCGTGAAACATAATTGCCTTTATTATACACATCTTATTCCCAAATGTTACTCAGTTTTGATTATTTTCATTGGCATTAAGAAATTGAGTTTTACTTCTTGCATTTCTTATCCACGACTCGGGGTGAAGTGTTTCGTGGATCCAGGTAATCGACCAAAACACCAGACTGTCGTCTATTCTGCAGACTTATTAATTTATGGAATCAAACGACTTTATGTGCATAAATGCAACTTTTATGCCACCAAAGCTCTCCAATTGACCTGGGAGGCGTTACGCTGCATGAATTTGCGTATTGAGGATTCACAGAGGGGCTAAAAGGCTGGGTTACACAAGAGCAGAGAAGAAATATGATGTAGGGATTTTCGTGCATTGTTCTGCACACATCATATATTTTGTAATGATAGTTATTTTAATTAAGGTGTTTATTCCACTGCCTACTTTTTGCCAAAGTTCGGGGAAAAATTGTGTTCCGAGTTGCATTTATTACCACTTCAGTAGACTGTCGAAGTGTGAATAATCACCTTTTACTTATAGAAATATTAAAAAGCCACTATAGCAAGGGCAATTTTATTAGCTCCGGTAAAACGGTTTGATTAATCAAATTATACAGTCATTTTTAATTAAATTCGCAACTCCGTCCTATTCTCCCCTTCCACTTAATCACGGTATGTAGAATTCGAGAATATTACAAATCGTTCAAGCACTACATTTCTTAGGTTACAGGCTGGAGAGGGGTTGCTGACATATTTCAACATAGCAAGCTCTGGTAGTACCTCAAATAAGTATGGTTTGTAATTTGCGTTTGTCGAGAATGCCTGGGAACTTTGACCGGATGATAAATACGCACGCATCGGTGGAAGTTACTTATTTTTTCCTTGAAAAGGAGCATAATATTTTCATGCACAGATTCACATATCAATCGAGAGATTGAAAATGCGATGTTTGAGGGATTAGAACTTCAAAGGTCTTGAATAGTTGGAAGCATATAAACTAAGTAAGGAGGCAGGGTCAGAAAGTCAGAGCTGCCACTTTTCTGATTTCATAGCAAAAAAAAAACAGTCCAATATCCTCATCCTCCCCACATTGTTTGGAGTAATTATGTAAAATTGGTCTGTGTTATTCCAGGTAATCCCTGCAGTCATACTTTGAGGTGTGCTTTAATCAACAGAACTAAAAAAGAACAATCATGACTTTTGATTACATTATCACTCCCCGTTTAGTCAACTGGGTTCCTTTAAACTGGGCATGTTCACCGATTGTATTACCGCCTATTAATAGGTACGTGGAAGAAGTGCCTACAAATCCGATTATCGAGACGACGATGACTACGACAACAAGGTGGAAGACGAAGAGGAT